AAATAACCACACAAAGAAATTAAAATCTTTAAATTAAAAAAATTAAAAATTCAAAAAAATCGAAACAAGTAAAAGAATTCCAGCAATACAACACCAAAAAAGCCATTCTTTTGAACGAGAACTAAGTTGTACAGAATTGGAAGAATGGAAAGAATGTTGGTCAATACAAGGCTATTTAAAAGGGGAAAAAGGAAATTAAAAAGTTGTAAATATTCTAGTTTATTTTGAAGTCTTTTTTAAATAAATGTTTTAAAACCTGATCAGTTTTAATTTAAAATTATTAAAAAAATTTCAGACTAATTGTAAGTTTATTTTTTAATGTTGCTTTGATAAAGGGCCTATTTTTAAGTTTCAAATTCTTGTTAATTTTTATTAAACCTTTTTTTTAATTTAATTTTTAAAACATTTTTAAGTTGTTTTAAAATAAAGTCAAAAAAGTATTTAGGTCGTCAACTAAGTTTTGACCCCCTCCCCTTTAATTATGTCCGATGATCCTAATTTTCTGCCAAAAAATAAAAAACTCTCTTAGAATAATAAAAAAATAAAAATTGAATTTGGATAACAAATTGCTGGATTTTATTAACTATTTAATACGTCTAACAAGGGAGGGGGCTCAAAACTTAGGTGAGAACCTATAAGTAATTAAATTATCTCAGTGTTTTTTCAGTCCTTTATTTTAAAATTAATTTAAATATTTTTTTCAAAAAAAATTTACTTCAATATTTATAACAGAATTTTTTTCATAAAAATTAGCCAATTGTTCATTTGTTTTTTCTCCAGGAATATTTGTAGAAATTAATTGAATTGTTTTGTTTAAATTAATTATTGAGTCTGTAGTGGAGAATAAATGGAAACAAACAAAAGTTCTTTTTAAAATAAAAATTAAAAATGATGTGATTTTTAAACTTTGAATTTAAGGAAAAAATTCAAAAAATAATTAAATTATAATTTAAAATGACAAAAATGACGAGAAAATTTTTTCAAAAAAAAATTAAAATTTACCTAAATTTATTTAATTTTCCAAATTCTCTGACAGGTTCTGAATAAATTATTGAAATTTTTTGATTTTCTGTTGGAATAATTGGGGATTTTAATTTTTCTTTTGAAGAAATAATTATTTCTAATTCTTCAATAAATTTATTTAATTTGCTCCCAATTTGGTGTATAGATTCGTTAAAAAGAAAACGGAGACGATTTTTATCAGACAAAAAGTGAATCTAAATATTAATTTGAATTTTTTAAAGTAAAAATTTTTTAATGAATAGGGAGGTAGGAGGAAGGGATGGAAAGAGCCCCCTTTTCACCCCCCCCCCCGTTGACTAAGCTATTTTTAAATTAATTTAAGGTACTTATCATTATAAAGTAGATATTTTTAGCATCAAGGGGTATATAAAATTGAAATAAAAATGTCTTGATTGGTTAATATCTATAATATTAATATCTCTAATGTTAATATCTCTCTATTTTAATCTCAAATTAGGTGATTAAATAACTAAAGAAGTCTGTCAGCAATTTAAAAATATTTAATTAACATTTCCCATCCTATTTTTAATTTAAAAAATTGCAACTAGTAGGAATGGGGCACTTTTCGTGATTTACATTTTGAGTTTAAAATAAATTCCAAAAATTAATACCTATTTAATTTTAAAATTTACATTTTTGTAAAGAATAATTCCCTCCCCCTTCTCTTTTTGTTGTTTCTCCTTCTCTCCATCATTTTCAGAAATTAACCCAATTTTATAAAATCCATCTCCCAAAGCGCCCAAAACTGCCGGATCAAAACGAAGTTTTGAGGTGGAAGGATCTACAGCTATTAAACTTTTAATTGGTTCTATATTTCCAATACGTTGTGTTCCTGATATATTCTTCCCATAACTGAAAATTAAAAAAAGTATTTTTACTGTTTTCTAAAGGAAAGTTTAGTTGAGCTGTTAACTAAATAGCCTAATCTAGAGCTATGAAATTTTGTAATAACCTCATCTAATTTTTAAAATAATTTTTCTTTTTTTATTTAAAACGTTATGGTCGCCAAATAAAATTAAATCAACATTTTTTAAGGAAACTATGACATTTTCTGTCATAATTTTCAAAATTCAAAACCGAAATTTCTCAAATTTTTAGAGAAGCTAGATAACGTAATTAAATAACTCTGTACAAAATTTCATAATTTTAAGTCTCAATCTGGCATTTTTATAAACGCCAGCGCCTAACCCTACTACGCCCGAAAAACAAAAAACTAACGGTGTAAATAAAACAGAATTAATTTCAAATAAATTTGTTTTAATTTTATTTAAATTTTCTTCTTCTTCATTTATATTTAAAGGTATTTTTTGTAATTTAGCTAATTTGTGTTCCAAAATTAAATGAGAATTATTTTCTGATAAAATTGTTTTTGGAATTTTTAAATTATTTTTTAAAGAATATTCTGGTGAGGAAGATTCTGGTAATAATTGAATATTAATTATTGATTCTGATGGATAATTCTCTTCTTGATTGTCCTGTTGTTGTTCTTGTTCTTCTTTTGGAGGACTAGAAAAAATATTTTTTTATTTTAATTATTTAAAAATATAGTCGAATTTCTTTTTAGTATAGTACTTCCAATAATGTAAACACAATTCTGTTTAGCGTATAGATTTTAATGGTGGTTGGGTTGTGGAGGTGGAGGCTATACCTCCACTTTAATGTCTAACTATTAGTTATGATTTTTTAATCTGTATAACATAATTCCCCATCTCAGGAAGGAATTAAAATAATAATTCCAAACGGCAATTAAGAATTTTAAAAAAGTAAAGGGATTTTTGAATTTTTAAAAGGAATAAATTTAAAAAATATTTTCAATTAAAAATAAATTCCCTCTAAAACAGTATACCAATTTTTTAATTTTCAGTTAATAAACAATGGAGTAGATATTAATTATCATCAAATTATTATACTCATTTTTTGTTTAATTTAAAAAAAAATTTTAAAAATTAATTAGTAATTTAATAACCTTGCAAGAATGCAAATATTTATACTACTGTAATTATTATTTTTTGTTAATTTTCCAGTTGCAAGTAATTCTCCGCTTTGTTTATCTACTCTTAGTAATGGTATAGAATTTTCAGCATCGACAAACAGGTTGGATAAATGAGAGCCTAAAAAGGGAGAGGGATTTTATGGGAATTTAATGGATATTTGGAGGTTTTTTGAAGGATTTTTTTAATTTTTAAAAATTTTCAAAAAAATTTTGACTCGAAAATTTCTTGGAAAATTCAAAAAATTCACATTTTTTCAAAATTCTATATTCAATTAAATTATATGGTTCAGCATCTTCATCCAACGCTTCCACACTTCCCAAAGGAAATTCTCCATTAGACGAAATATTTATCGAATCAGGCCAATAAATTGTTAATTTACTTGAAGTCGGCTTTTAGAAAAATTTTTTTAATTTTTCAAAAAATTTCTTAAAATTTACCGATAAACTGTGAGGGAAATAAGGTAAATGTTCATCTACATTAATTATTTTAATAGGTAATAAAGCTTTGACTGTTTGGCCAGTTTTTGGTGAAAATGCAATTATAATAAACTGAAAAAAATAAAAAATAAATATTTTCAAGTAAATCTACCTAAATCCTAACAGATTATTTTGAGTAAAAATATGAGAAGGATTAAAATTTACAAAAAAAACAAGTATTTATTTATATAATCCTTCAAATATTTGTTTAAAAAATAAAATTGCTCACTTAATTTTATACTAAAAAATTATTTTTTTCTCTTATTTAATAGAAATGAATATTGTTGAACTTTAATTTAAATTATTTCTTTCTCCCCAAGTATTTCTGCACTATATGTATTTCATAAAGGAATTTAAATAGTATATTACATATCCACCTACAGAATGTAAATTTTTATAGGTCTACATGTTAGAAGTCCTTAGAAGTCCCTCAATTAATTAGAAGTCCTTAGAAGTCCCTCAATTAGAGCAAAGAAATATAGAAAATATAAATTCTAATATACTAGCAGGGGTCGGAAGATGTCGGAAATCAGAACTGTCGGAAATCGGAAATGACTCAAAAGTCTGAACTCGGAAATCAAGTATCAGGGGAGGTAATTTAGAGACAAAAATCGACAATATTTTGTTAAATCAAATTTTAGGAATCTTATTTAAAAAATTAAAAATTAATTTCTTTTTAAGCCACAAACAAAAATAATTATAAACTAGAAAATGAATATTCAACAATTAGAGCAACAAATAGATTCAACAATTTACTCCCTCAAACAGAAATTTACAAAAAATAATTTAAAAACTATCGGGCATTCAATGCCTTGTTCAGCAACAACTTCCCCTATCCCTCCACAAAGATTTAACAGAACAAATTCTTTAAAATCAATTAAATCAAAAAATTCTTTTAAAAAATTATTTTTAAAAAATCGAAAGGAAGAGGAAGAAAATAATATTTGGACAGCCCCAGTTTCTCCTCAATTAGAACAAAGAAATATTATTACACCAACAACACCTAATTCTTCTTTATCTACAAATACTTCTCCAAATCATAAAAGAAGAAATAGTGCAAGATTAAGAGAATTACAGAGACTTTTAAAAGCTTATCACGAACAGAATAGCAAATGGGCAAGTGAAATAAAAACAAAAGAATGTCCAAAAATTCAAGGAAAGTAAGTATATATTGAAATAAAGATTAGCCACTTTTACGGCCCCGACACTTGCCGCAAGTGTACGGGCCGCTAAAGTTGCATCACAGAAATAAATATGTTAAATTAGTTACCAATTAGCTGGAACTTCTTATAATTTATATGAAAATTCTGACTGAGAATTCTTAATTTAGACTTTCAAATATACTTTTACAAAGATTTTATGAGAATAAAAATGATCGTTAAAACTTAATTACTATTTTAAGTAGTTTCCAATTTTTATGAGAACTAAAATTTTAATTTAAAATGAATTCTTACAAACATAAAGAGGAAACATTTTGAGAACCCATTCCAATCCCGAAAAGGTCAGGTTACACGAAATCCAGACTTTTTTCTCAACCCAACCATCCCTAAATTTCAACTAAGTTCTCATCCATACTTATCAAACAATGAAATATCAACAACTATAAATCAGCAACTCTACTCTTCTACAAATTTATTAGAATATTCAAAATCAGAATTAGGCAAAGAAAAGCCCTTAATTATTAAAAAAGAAGAAATAAATTCAGAAATATTCCCAACATTAACAAGAAAATCGGGTTTAGAAGCACAAAAACAGAGGCAAAGAATGACACTTTCAGAATTAGAATTAGCATTAAAAGGAAATGAAGAAGAAAAAGAAGAAGAGCAACAATTAATTTATTCTTCTTTTGAAAGTTTAGAAATTAAAAAATCTTTTGACAAAAAATCATTGTCTCCAAGTCCTCAACTTCCTCCAAAACCTCCAAGAAAAATAAAATATTTAATTAAAGAAAATAAAAAAGAAGAAGAAGAAAATGTTGAAAACCCTTTGAAAGTTAATTTTCAAAAAAATTTGGAAAAAGAGGGAATTTTGATTGAAAATAATTTAAAGAAACAGGAGAAACAATTTGTTGAAACAAAAAATATTCCAGAAAAATTAAAAACAAAAAATAATAAAAAAGAAAAAACAGCAAAAACAACCAAACTTTTTGGTCTTCAAAATTTTAATATTTTTGGAATTAAACAGAAAAAAGAAGGGAAAGATGATAAACAAAGAAATGAAGGTAGGAAAGAAAAAAATAATTTAATTGTAAGATCTTGAAAAATTATCCCTTATAATAAGTTAGGTATATTTGGAGGTATCAATTAGAAATTTTTTAAAATTTTAAAAATACGTAGGCATATTAAATTGAGGAGTATTAACTAAAGACCAAATCGAAACGAGATCTCGAACAAAAATCTCGGTTATTGAAATCGATACTTTTCGAGATATCCCTACGATTCTCTCACGGCACTTCCAGTTCGGTTTCTTGTATTAACTAATTTTGAGGGTACTGACAATAGTGAGATGCTGACAATATTTAAATAAAAAAATAAATTAATTTTTTTAAAGGAATATTACTAAAAACAGCAAGTTCAGAACCTAAATTATCTTCACCACCAATTTTAAAAAATAATTTAAATATTTTTTCTCGTCCTGGATCTCCATTAACTACTTTTTCGTGTTCTTCTCCATTACTTGAAGCTATTTCTCTTTCCTTATCTAATTTTGCTGTTGAACATTTGGAAAAATTAAAAGAATTTATAACAGAAACTAAATATGTTACGGCAGTTTTTGAATCGAGAGGAGGATTAAATTCTATAATTGAGGATACAGAAAATGAATTAATACATTGGATGGGAATTAATTCAAAACTTTTAGCTGTAGCTTGTGAAGTACATTGGTCTGTTCCAGAAAGGTTTAGAAGTAGACAAATGGATATTAAGTAGGTTGATTAAAAGTATTCTTTTAACTTTTAAGGAGGAGGTTGGTGACATATAAGAGAGCTTAGGAAGTGTTTAGAAGAATTAAAAGTGGAAAGCTGTCAACAAGATTTGTGATAATAAAGAAAATTGAGGGACTGTTAAATTAGACATTCGATTTAAGGCAAGATAGGGATTGAATATATAGGAGAAATGATTGAAATAAAAATATAATAAAAAACAAAGATTTCGGGTATTTAAAGAACTGGGCTATCTGAATTTCAATAGTAAAGAAATTCACCCCTTTATGTGGATATTTTGTGATAATATTAGATGATAAATAAATTCAATAAGTATTCACTCCATTTTCAAGGCTAAAAGAATGTCTGCACGCAGCTTTACGAGAAAACAATCGCCGCATTCTGGGGTTAAATTCTTGCTATGAAAATATTGTTGATCCATGGAATACATTTAATATATCTCAATTTCCCTTAGTTCTGGCAAAATCGAGAACTGAAGAAAGTTGTGCGAGGGATGCAGATACTGACTCTTTTCAAGGTAATTTTGGGTGGAATCTTGTGTAATTGATAAAATAATGGCCGATTTTAGAGTTAAAAATAGGATTTCCTTAAAAAACAGACAGAATAGGCAAGTTGAAAATCCACCTTATCCTAGATTAAATTCAAATATAAAACGCGAGGATATAAGAGAAAGAACTAGCTTTAGAGGTTTTGGTACTGACATTAATAATTCACGACAACAATTTAAAAAATAGAAGGAACATTTCCTTTCGAGTAACATTACCTTCCTATTAAAATCAAAAATTAATTTAAAGGTATCTATCGCCGCTTCTATCCAGCATTGTTATCATTACAGGATCAATCAACAGTAGATGCCCACAAAGGTTATTGGACATTAGAAAATATGAGAGACGAAACCAAATCTCCATTAATCCCAACCCCAGCAAAATTTCTATTTCATCAATCACAAGAACAATTAAATAAAAGATCTGTGGTTGCTTTAAATTTGGCAGTTTTAAGATTAAGAGGAGACAATAGAGATTATGATAATGATGAAAAAAGAATTAAAAATAAAGAAATGAAACCAAGAAAGTCAATTGTACAGAGTGATTTTTAACGGAAAAAATTTTTTTCTGAATTAAATTTTAGTATATATTTCGGATTGATGTGAATATTTTTGTGATATTTTTGAAAACATTGTACTAACTTCACACCTTGGAAGGTAGTAGAAGAGATCAATCTGGGTCTGGACCAAGGCCTGGGTTTTTCCTGTACCCAGAGTCCAGGCCCAGGCTTTTTTTTTTAGCTTTCTGGGTTTTTCCTGGGCCTGGGTTTTTCTGGACTACAGGCCCAGGATCCGGCCCAGGTCAATAAATCAAACACGGAATCCAGGAACAGGCCCAGACTTTTCAAAAATCTCGATCTCTAGAAGGTAGTACAACAATTCTTGTTAACCTTTCTAACTCTCATTCTATTACCCATTAAAAAAATTTTTAAAACTCACCGCCCATTGTTCATGGCTTTCATAATCAAATTGTTTTAAAATAAATATTTCTCCAGTTTTCTCGTCAATACGAAGCATTTGTTCCTTTTCTTCATTTTCCGTCCAATTTCCATCTAAATTACTTCCAATTTTATAAAATATTTCATTTTCCTCTTTCTCCATTAATTTTGATTTTTTCCCAATAAAAATAGCCTCAGCCTGACCAATTCTTCTTCCAATAGGTATATCTTCTTTTAATTCTAATGGATTGTCTTCAACGCTTGGCCAAACCATTTTAAGTTCTTTAATATTTTCACTTGCTTCATCAGTGAAAATTATGTTGACTTTAGCTATTGAGGATAGTGGGGGATGACTGAAAATTATTGTTTTTTGTAATAATTTAATAAAAATAGAAATAATAGAAATTGTAAAATAAATTTTTTTTTCAAATAAAAAAGGAGAATAAGAATTTTTATTTTGCATTTCTATATTCTTAACGTAAAAATAAATTTTTGGCTCTAAATATAAAATATTGCCATAAAGAAAAGAAAAGTTCTCATCTCTTGGATTTTGAAGTAAGAAGGGATTAGGGGAAGCTATCATCAAGTACACTCCAAATTTTAAATCTGTAATTCAATATTAGATTCCCATCTCAGTTTATCCTAATACCAGGCAATAATAAAATCTATGGGATAAAAGACCCCACCCATTATCTGTTGCCAAAACTTTCAATTCAAACATTTCACCTCCCAACATTTCATATAATTCACTTAATGAACGAATATCAGAAGCTGTTAAAAGTCCAGTTTTCGAGTCTATTTGAAAGAAATCATTTCCAGATTGTTCAGAATCGAGTTGGAAAGTTATACGGGCATTTTCCCCAACATCACGGTCATGGGCCCTGTGCCCAAAAGCCCTTTCGGGTGGACACACAATTTGTACGGCCTCCGGCTATGGGAGGGACGGACGCTTATAAAGGGAGGACAGAGAACTCAAAAGTTCTCTTAAACTTATAAGCGATGATGACGACGACAGCCTACCCAAAATCCCCAAAAATACACACACCAAAGAAGAAAAGATTTATTTAATTAACAAATAAATTTAGCGGTCCGATAACAGCTCGGGATCCGCGGTGTGAATAAATTGGTGATTAAAATATGTGGTGAAAATGCGAACAAATAATTTAAGTTAGTGCTCCGCTCTCCTGCTCCCAGTTGAAGGGAGAAAAGTTGGTTTAATTGATTGGGTTTAAAGGAATTAGAAAATTATAAGATTTTGAGAGAAGTTGGAAATTGAAAGAAGGATTGAAAGAAGTGATTTTAGGGACAGCCGAGCGCTAACTTGACAGCCAAAGGTAGGCGTGGTTAAAAACAAAATAAATTGCGGGCGGTAAAATTAAATAGGTGAGAGAAATGGAAAAAATAGTGGAGGGCTTATGCCCTTTTGGGCACACTCCCCCCGGCAAAACAAGAAATGTTTATCGAGAACGACGTGAGTGTCCAAATGCAATATGAATCGATTTCATCAGTCTCTTCGCGGCCCCATCAATAGCAAGTAAGTCATGTTCCTCTTCATTCGTCAACTTGGCTCGACCAGATTCCATAGAATGAATTGCATCAGAAATCTGACCGCAAAGTTGACCCGTGGTAGTTCGGACCTTTCGCAGAGTTTCTGTATGTTGATCAGAAACTCCCCAATGTGAACGCCCAGAACCTGAACGGGAATAACGGTCATTAGACTCAACGCGATCTCCCCGATCTTGCTCACCTAAAGTCTTTTCTCTTTCTCCACTGTTAGAACGCCCAGATGAAGAAGAACATTTCCACTTTGATTCAGCGGGAGTGGCCACCGCAAATTTATTGACCGCTTCCTTATGAGTGGCGGTCTTTTCACAAACTCCCCCCATGGCTGCTGGCGCGTTGACTACTGTTTGTTGAGCAGTCAGTTTCTGCGCAAAGGAAAAGAACGCTTCAACGAGGCTTTGATTTTTCTGGTTTTGCCTCTCTTGTTTTAAACGCTCTTTTTCCAACTTAGCCTTCAGATCTGGCATTAAAATGTTCCCTTTATTACTCTCCCCCAATTCAATTTTTCCCTCACCTACAGAAACAACCAATGAGTTTTGTTTAGTTGCTGCTGCGGGCGATTCTTTCTTTTCTTGTTGTTTCTCGACAATTTGTTTTCCATTTTGAGTAGCAGAATTAATTTGATTAATTTCTTTATTTTTAATAATTTCCGATGTTGCTTTCAATAAAGTACTGGTGGTGGAATTAAAACTTTCGTTGTCCAACTCTTCTGGTGCCACCGCAATAGCTGGTTTATTTCCAATTTCTAGAAGTTGCTCAACATTAATTTCTTTTAAATGTTGTTCCATTTCTTGCTGCTGCGCAGCCGAAGTTGGTGGACCGAAAACCTCTAAATAAAGATTCTCCTTTGCCTTTTTATTAGCTTTACTGTTGCTGTTGTCAGTAGAATTTTTTTTCATTTCTATAGGCAAGAAAGAATTAAAAGGAGAGAGAGAAATATCGGGTGAGTTAAAGCAACAAGCGAAATTTCCATTAATAAAAACGGTAAAAACCGCAATAGCAAATAAAATTGAAAGCGCGCGAATCGGGGGTCCTCCTCGCGGAAAGCTAATTTTAAGCTCATTGTTTTCCTTTTCTTTTGCGTGTTCCTCCTCAGTTGATGGGCCTTCTCCTGGTGGTAATTCTGGTGGCGGTGAGCTTGGCGGGGTGAAACCCGTGGCCGCATTTCCTCCAAAACTTGGATCCGGTTCAGTCGGATCGTAAATGATTTGCTCCAATGGAAAGAAGCTCTTGTGGGACTCTCCCACCTTCCAACACTGGTGTCCAACAACTC